TAGAATAAAAAATATTCCACCACATTGGAGATCAAATGACTCACTTTTTAAAGGAGTTGGGTTTTGCAGTATTTGATCACTTTTAATGAGATTTTTTAGAAAATAATTTTTGTCAAACAGAGAAGGTGGATCAGGAAGTCTTGCTTACTAAAACAACTCTTAAAGAAATCATATCCACAGAATACTGTTATTAACAGTATGAACTTCCATCTAATGGTTCTCCAAACTCTTACTATCATAGGCATTTCATGATATAAAGCAGAGAGAAACTTTATTCTAGTGCATGAAATGATTACATGAATGTGTTCTGTCCTTTTAGAATTACATTTAATGTTTTCATTGATGGACAAAGTTCCCAATGGGATAGAGCCAATGTTGAAAGACTTGGAGGAACATATCATTAGTGCTGGCCTGGCAGATATGGTAGCAGCTGCTGAAACCATTACTACTGTAAGTTTTCTTCAGTGACGATGATAGATATGTATCAAGGTTATTTTTAAAAATGCAGGATTGAATAGTAGTTACCAGAGGCTGGGGAGGGTAGAGGGGGTTCGAAATAAAAGAGGTAGATCAATGAGTACAAACTTACAGTTAGAAAATAGTAATAAAAGACTGTACTTTCAGGGATCATTTCTATAGTTCGTTATTAGAGAATTTTTTCTGAATGCATAGAGCACAAAAAAACAAGAATAAGTTTTGGTCTTCTCTTACACAGTAGAGTGACTAGCAAATAGCAATATAGTGTATATTTCAAGACAGCTAAAAGAGAAGATTTTGAATGTTATCTTCACAAAGAAATGATAATTGTTGGAGGTGATAGATGTATGTGGTCATTATACTTTGTATGCATGCATTGAAACATCACTTTGTACCCCATAAATACGTACAATTATTATATGTCTATTATAAATAAAAAACTTAAGAAATGCAGGATTGGGCCAGGTGCAATGGCCCATGCCTGTAATCCTAGCACTCTGGGGGCCGAGGCAGGAGGATCGCTTGAGCTCAGGAGTTTGAGACCAGCCTGAGCAAGAGTGAGACCCCATCTATACTAAAGATAGAAAAAATTAGCCAGGCGTGGTGGTGAGTGCCTATAGTCCCAGCTACTC